AATGCCCTGATATCCATTTCGAATATGAGCATCAACTTAGACTTGAATCCGTTCGGCGTTGCCACCAAAGTCGCTTGCTCTGCTGGTCGGCAACATTTTCTTTCGCTCCTTGAAACCTTTTTTGGTACGGAGCAAACGCTAGCCTATGTTCCGTTATTGGCCGCGATTTAGGCAACTATTTTGTTGATCACGGTTATGCAACAGTCCGACCCGGCATTTGGTAGACTTAGCCAAACCTGGTGAGGTTAGTATAACGCTGAGATACTTAATCTAAAACATATCTAACCAAGAAAAATAGAAAAGAAAACAATTTTCAGATCGTATATTACAAGCTACATATTCACAGACCGTGAATTATGGCTATATACACACAAAAAACCCGTAACAGCAGAGGCTCTGAATCATAAAGCACTTCAAACTAATAGCTGAATGTTAAGTATGGCACGTGCTTATACATCCAACTTGTGGACTGTTTGCCCCCTCATAACATAAGTAGCCACATAAAAATAACTGTTAGTTTGAAATACAGATAGAATTGCTAATTAGTTACATATCCTCCGTTTTTAAATAGATGCAACAGGTTGCCATTCTTCCGGGCTTACGAGTTCATTTAAACCACAACTATCGGTAAGGGCTTAATTATGAATTGTGAAAAGCAGTCCAAACAGCCTGGCGATAGTGAACTTGCGCTTCACCACTTCGGGATCTTGCTGGTGCCATTAATGTTGCCTCTGTTTCGTTTTGCGTATGCTTTTTCGAACGTGTACTCATTTTACGATAAAGGTCGGCTACTAGATAACACGAAGTTACTGTATCAGCTGCACCTAATTCAAAACATCGACAAAACAAGTAACTTCTTCAGTTTGCTGGCATGGTTTCTTACTTGCCGGCTTAATGGTCCCCGGTGAAAGAGACCAGTAGAAGCACCCTAGCGGGTAGTGGGGTTTCCGTCACCTTTAGATTAGTAAGCGGCGTGAACAAGTTTCTGCAACTGCTTCTGTTTATCTGTCTATGCTATTTTCACTTAGGGTCTTTTTAGTTGATTCTGCTTCAAATCGTGTGGGTTGTCTCTGCATCGATATAACTGAATCAGCCACATAACATGGGTGGGCAACCGGTTCCGCCTAATCTGTATGTGCCAGCAATAAGCAAATGGGTAGTCGAGCTTCAACGCTTCTATTGAAGCTTATTCATTTCATCATAGGATTAAAACCTCTAACAGTAACCTGGACCCGACCATAATGATATTATCACTATTATTCACCGACAAAAAGGAGCAGTAACCCATGTAGATCGAACTAGTGGTCGGGATCATTCGGGCTCTCCAAGCTTTACTTGTACTAGCAGTTTCTATAATCTCGGCTAGTATGCAACACGTAACATGCAAAACACGATAAACGTGATTAAAAAAAGATCACAGGATATACGTTATCTCACTCACTGATTGCTAACGAAAAAGCAAAATTGCCAAAGATCAGTTGAAAGGTTCATCAATTCAATTAGGTTAAAGCCTGATTAGTTATGATCAGAAGCCATATGATTTTTGCTAACTTCGTAATAGGTCGTACTTCTTCTTTCTTTGTTTCACCACTGCATGATCTTTTCTCGATTTTTTGGTTTTTCTAATGAAACGACAACGATGTCGGATCAAATATTTTTCATCAATGTGTTCGTTGTCTATAGACAGTTTAGAAAGCTAATATTATAGGTGTTCAATGCATTGAAATTGTTTAAAGTCTTCTGGGTTGTCTGCGGCGTACCCTATTTTCCTGCGCCGAAAAACTCCTAAGGAACAATTCATTTTTAAGTTTACTAAATAAAGTAGAATGTTAAGCGTAAATACGATATGGGATCAATTGTTTGACTACTCGCGACACAGGTATAATTAATTCGTTATGGCGCCATTTTTTGAAACATGTCAACTTGCACCATTGTCGCCGATTAAGCGTTTACATACACATTCGGTGTGAGGCGTTTCATGCTTCGCGTAGCCGAACGAGGAGCCATTGGGATGAAACGAAATAATTATATGAAAAGTCGAGCGATTATTAGAACGATATGTTTCCATCTCGTATGATATTTCAAGAAGGTAGATACTTTTTCATTGTGGTGTCTAGGTCGATCTCTCTATGAAGCACACAGATATGTTTCCGGTCCGATCGCGTGCTGCATATTGCAACGGCATAATTCTCTTGGGACCTAAGCCTATCGCGATTCGTACGATGAGGCTGGATGTAAGTTGACGTTTATATGATCAATGTGAAATGCATGTGAGATGAAAATGCCTTTTCTAGCTAGTGACTGCTTCTACTGTATTACAAAAACATGCCGCTGCGCTTTGAGACGTAGACAACTTTTAGTCGGCCATTTGCCGACGGCAGGACATCACTTTCATTTTCGATTACTAGTCCTGACCAGTACTGGAAGATGAATGAAAATCGGAGTCAAAAAGACTGTACAACATGCAAAAACGACGCTTGAAAAAAAAATTGTTATACCTTTAAGTCAGCCTTCAAGCAAAATTCATTTTATCAGTATTAAGATTTATCAACGTGGGCAGTTCCAGCAACGATTTATTCTCAAAGGCATGTTGAAACAAAATCAAATGTATTGTGCTCGCAGTGATATTTGTGCGAAAATTATTGAGCGGGAGACTGACATTAAGAGCTTGAACGATTCCAAAAGTTACCGAGCCAAGAGTCAAATTGGGTCTATTAATATTGACAGTCAGGAGCCGTTTCCGATTCGCTAGCACTCATGCACTTTGATTCTTGCTACAACTCGTGAGACCTTCGTCACAAAGAGGACATCTAACATTTATTTAGCATCAGTTGCCTAAACTCAAAAAAGTATTTGCGTTCTCTCCAATGATCCGTTACTATCACTTTAATGCCACGCCGAATTTTGCATGATTTTATTTAATCTCGCTTACCGATTGGTTCTCACGGGAATAAATAGCATTTCTTTCAAACATTATTCATCCTCATTAGTTTAATTTTTCATCACAAATCCCTGACGTCGGACGTTTTTTTTAGATGGTCCCCTTAATGAGTTGCCCTCTCCATATATTACTCAGCACTGCCACATTTCGAATAGGAGCTAGAGTTCAACGTCGTGCACTTCGTAATACAAACGGTTCTATTATTATAGACATATCGGTGCTGTCATCATATTATTCACTTACGAAGGATGTTTGCTTTTAAGATAATCATTTTAGTTCTATCTGCTATTATATAACGTATTTATTGGAAACAAAATCCTATAAGGCTCTACGTCTGAAAGCGGCCATGGTGTACAACTTACGAACAAATAAACTGAAACTGATCATTGTAATCAGCTTGTCAACAATGTCGAAGCAACTGCCATGATCACATTCACATAGGTCTGACAACGGGAACCCTCAGGTCGGGTTGAACACGTGCATCCACGGGCTTCTGCGTACCATTTTTAGCATCGGACAATTTGTGGCATTCGCGATGCTGGCTGGTATCATTAGTAGCATTTAGCGAAAAGCCTTGGATCGAAATGTCCTACCTTCGAGTTTTTCATTAGCAGCATCCGTTTGTTATACTGTGATCCATGCTATCCGATCGAGATACGTGTGTAGTCGATCGCCATGCTCACTTTGTTTTTTTCTAAACTCATCTTGAAACTGTTTTGACGTCCATTGGGCACTGCGGGCGTCATAGCTTTACTGTACTGTAAAAAGCGTAACTGATCACGCTATTGTAGATATTACTTTATACCAACCGTACGTTAGCACGTCCGAAGGAAGCTGACGACAACGGTTGTAAAGGGACTACAATGCAGTCAGATTCACTTTGACGCTGCCAGCTCCCGGAAAATTGCGCAGTGGGATATGTTCCGCAAACGTAATGTTATTGACATTTAGCATGATGCATGCAGTCAATGTATGAGTCATGCCGTAGGTGATTTTTATGCTAGTAAACTTTGTGTCGATCCACTTGAAACAGCTAGATTTTAACTAGTTTTTCAGATCAATAAACCTGCTCATTGGATCATTGCTACACAGACCGGTGAAAACGACTGTGCTATTGATCATTCCCGTGGTAGCCTGGTGGGTAAGGTATTGTTTGTAATCAACCGTTATTTATACTTGCAGTCCAGTTCAGAGTAAACTGGATCGAACATTGTAGTAAATCTGGCCAAGATGGCGTCCGATCGATCAGAACCGATTTTAGTGGCTAAATGTTGTAACATAATCTTGCCTATACTGAAGGCTGTACTACCCAAAGATAACTTCTGCTCAGGTTTATTTAACTTTAAAGGGACGCTCTTTTGTACGTGGTATATTGCAGAAGTAGACAACGCTTGGCTCATATCAGTGTTTGTGAACCTATTTTAGATGCGGATCACAGGATCCTAGGCAAAAGCGTCTTGTCGATAAATCATTTCCTTAGTAGGAACAAGGAAAGAAAATCGGCTCGAAGACGAACTCTGCATGCGGCATTTTCGGTGCACTTACCGGGTCCTAACTGCGCCCTACAAGCTCATTTAAGATATTCTTTCCGTTTCATGTTGCACGTAAATTTCGATGTCCAGATATTTTAAAGATGGCTGTTATTTATACTTTTGGTCGGAGACTGACAAGTGCTTCGACTGATAGACACCACGTTGTGTTTCCGAAAGCTGTAAATTAATTTAAAAAATTGTATAAAAGTAAACTTTATCGACATATAAATTTAAACGTTTGGAGCTTAAGCTTGTCGTAAGTTCGAGTTGCAGAGAACGTATTTTCCAGACGTACTTTGTTATAACATATATACCGCCTTATTATCTGAGGACTTGTCTATACTGCGGGCTCAGTTGGAGTCCGTTCCTAATACATTTCAGGCATAGCCTATTTCATTTTGTTCTGAAGGGTTTATTTGTTACACAGTCCTGAATATGTTCTGACAACGCAAACCAAGTCTAATATATCCGAATCATATCTCAATGTAACAGTGCTCCTGTCCTGATGAGGTTTCTAACCGTTTAGCTCCAAGAGTTATGATCTAATTATTGCAAAACTCTTCACTGTCTTGAATAAGATTTAGGATGCGTTGTAACACTGCAGCTCTGGATATCTGCAAAGCGTTTTCATTTCCTTGAGTCTGTAATGGAAAGGAAAATGACGCGAGCAGCGTGTCCAAGTTTGTCGGCGTTTTGCTCTCGAAAGAAGTGTTTCCTCCCTCAGTCACCAAACGTGCGTAAGGTTGCCTGAATTTCGTTGACCCCAACTTGCGTGGCGGCTTATCTGCGCCATTGCTGGACACTGGGTGGGTGAGGTCGATTTCAAGTCCGCCGGCAGAGGGGGACAAGCCGACCGATGTGATGGTTGCTGTGTTACAATTGGGAACAGGCATAAGTCCAGTAGCTCTCTTGGTATTCACTGAAGATTTTTCCACCGATCGTGTTCTACGCTTATGCGTTACTAAGTTGTTGTTTGCAGATAACTGGGTAGCATCAGAGATCTGAGAAGCAATTTTTTTACGTTTCCTGCCGGCACTTTTCTGCGTTCGCTGTTTGGCGGAAGCCCCCGTGTTCGTGGGATCGTGATGGGCTTGTGATACGTTATTCCTGCGATGCGCATCAGAATCGTTTAGCATTTTAGGGGACGGAATGTTATCGAAAAGGTCATCCGGGGTAAGCGATCTTTCGGATTCAACATTTTCCGTCACGTTGCCTATTTATTATAAACAGAAGTTATACAAAAAATACGTTAGTAGCTATTAGAGTGAAGTGTGGCACGGCCAGCCATTGAGGTGGGACATAAAAAAAAAGTTTATCATTGTCCGACATGAGGTATAATATGATGTTTTATTCGGGGAGCAATTACTTGTTGGGCAGTTTTGTAAGTTACGGTCAGTTTTGCCGCCGAACGGTGGAAAAGCCGGCACGACAGACTTTACAATGGGTAACAGGATCAGTTGCATTGGTTGCGTCATTTTGTAATTGACACAGGGTAATATTATCGTAAGGCGGTGGTATAGGAAGGTGACGAGTGATTTGACCAATGCATTAATTTACGAAACAGGTTGATGGAAAAACTGCAATAAGAGCGTAGTGTAGAAGAGTGGCCAAATAAAATCGACGGATTTGGATTCAATGCAATCATGTCTAAACCCGCTATGAATTTGATGTGAATAAGTAGCAGGGCAGGCGGCGTCCGGTTCATATGTCTAGTGCGAAAGATATGCGACGAGAGAGGTTAATGAGTCTGGTTGTTGATGAGGCAGGGCGAACAAACGCTGCACTTATGCAGTACTGGCGGTTATTATGCAGGTCTTCATAGATACACATATATGGTTGCGGTCAAACAATGGCTAGTTCGGACGTTAACATACTTTGGATATTTTAGCTGTTACATTGTTGGTTTCTGTCCAATAATCCGGTCTTTCACGATTTGGTAGCAGCCCGAACATAATCAAATCTATGAAGGCAACGAAGCCACAAGACCTGAAAATTGTCCAGAAAATGGGACGAACCGCGAACGCTGAACCCCCCAGCCATATTGTTGTATGAAATTGGCCGGTTAGGCTAAGATTACCACAGTGTGTAGATCACCCTTAGGGCAACCACGAGTACTGGAAACGGCGTCAAGTCAGAAATGTAAACGATAGATAACGGCTAGCGGTTGCAATACGGTTGCGACGTGAAGCTTTAGTCGCTAACCGATATATAGTTGGCCTCCCTTCCAAACCTTTCAAGTGTCTAGCAACTCTTCTACCACCCGACATATATATCTATATATATGCATATGTGTGTGTGATTAAGCTTTTCCGTTTTTCATTAATTTCGAACATAGGGTCTTGCAAAGAAAACACAGAAGTTCAAAACGTTCATTTTACGTCTGTTGAAATGGCAACGGAGTGAAATATAATAAATGAAAAGTGTACGTCTTAAAAAGAAGGGGGTACGAGATTATCAGAGAAGGAAGCTTGCAGTTGAAAGTTAGGCAAAGGTAGAGCAGTATTGATGCTTTATTTTATTTGACGTCTATCTTGAGTCGACTTGGCCCCCACCGCTACTAAGTAAAAAGTAGCACGAAAAATTGCTGCTGCGACAGTAACAGATTAATAACAGTCATTTAATATAAACAATCTGAACTTGAAAATCGTTTGTTTGTATGCAAAAGATGCGACCTTTCAAGGGGCTCAAAATAAAAAGATCCACCTCAATCAAAGCTAGTTGCAGTGACAATTAATAGCAATAGCATTATTTGTCTACTTTAACAGTTGGTGTTACTGTGCGGTATAAAACTTACTTCTGTATAATTCAGTTTATCGATCGGCCTTTATTGTAGTAAAAACAGAACGAGGCTATAGCTCGAGTTGCCGTCATAAAATGGTAGACAAATAGCTAATTTAAGCGAGAAAGAATGATGCAGTATTTTGGTGTTCGCATCGCTACCTCGCATTTACGGTGAATCGCTCCCCAAAAGAGAAATTAAGGCGACCTTTTTTTACATAAGGGAACATTTGTGTGTGTTATAATTATAGGAGTGCATATTATATTTCTTACTTGCCCTGATTATTATAAGCAGCTTGTTTTTTTCTTGTTGCATGAAAAAAAAGTCATAAACATTCTTCATAAGACTGATCAAGATATAATCTCTGAAAAACTTTAACTGAATACCATTTCATTTGGAACCATTTGCTTACTGAGGCCTTTAGGTCACTTGCTACAAGTTGAATTCAAATAACAAGTTATGATCGAAATATAGCGAACCGTTAGTGCCATACACAAACATGTTCTTTAACAAGGAGGATGATTGCATTTATGCTACCGTATGTAACTTGTTTAGTGAAACACATTGACAAACTCACCCTGAGTATGATAGTTGGAAGATACATTTTCTTCTCGTTGATCAGATCGGGCAAATTTATTTCCGTTGTCGACGACAGGCATTAGGACAAATGGCAAACCACTGTCATCAACTGGCCCACTGCCGGAGTTGTCGGTGACATTTTTATATTCCATACTAGGATCTGCCCTAGAGGAAACTTTGTTATTTTCATTTTCAGTGTTTAGGTTGAGTAAAGTCAGGGCATCCTCTACAACCGCAACGATCTCATCATGCGCTATGTGAGTAGTACAGCACATTTGCCGTTTTTCATACTGAGAATGGATTAAAAGCATTTCGACCGCCCATCTGTTGACTTCTGGAACTTCCCACCCATTTTCGGCCTTTTTCTGCAGTAGGGAATACAATATGCATAGCATCAATATAAATGAAAACCAAATAAATAGAGCATGTGAATCGAATGGCAGCTGTTATTCAACCTGTGACTGGACAAAGTGCACCCGTTTATGCTGTACTTTGTAGCAAACCTTTACAGCTCTTAGAGTAAGCTCTGAGCGTTTTTTTCAGAGATTTCTGTCGATAATCTTCCGTACACAAGTCACTTAAAAATCGTGGACACACACACATACATACAAACAAATATGACACGCTTTAAATAAAATACTATTATAGATACATTTACACACGGATGTTGGAAAGAAAAATACCTACAGTCCAACCTTTTTGCCCCCCACAGAAATTACAAACCTTTAAAATTAAAGGTCTGTGCCGTCATTAAATGGGTTCGCCAGAATCCTAGTGGGCTTTTGCCTCTAAAAGCCAACTTGTATTCTCAACTCTTTCAACGCTCTATCAAGTCGTAATTTGGTTCTGCTGAAGTTGTCATCTATGGAACATTTAAGCGAGACTTCAGTGTTCCGCACGGTTGGTATCGCTTTGTTTATGCTTGCCATTAAAGAATTATTCGCGAATATAGCCAAGGAATGGCGTTCGCAGTGGTATAAAGTAGCGTAAAATACAAATAGATGTGATCACAAGAAACATACGGGCGATTGCGGGCTCATAGTTCTCGCGTGGGGCTGACCCCCAAAAACGGCCATTGCGGAAGGCGATCTAGTGCTTGCTATGCTGGGTGTCTTTGGCGTGTTCGACAGGTTCTCGGGGTCGTTGCCAGTTATTGCCGAGCGTTTACCATCTGCTCCAAGGTTGCTCACAGATACACAGACGTCGACGCCAGCTAATGTTTCGTTTATTAAGTGAACATTCAGCCGATTCCAATTTAACGATACCTTCAAAGACAGCAAAAGCTTGTTGTGTGCAAATGATGCATTAAAACGAGAACGTTTGGTCTTCAATAAACTACTTGGGCGGTGATCAGGTACTATAATTTCAAATCGCTAACAAGCTTTATATAATTCACTTACCATAGGGCATCATAGGCATGAGTATTCTTCGTAAGTGCCTAGGTTTAGATCGTTGCAGATTATTGATTGTATCCAAATGCACCAAGATACGACAGGTTGAGCCCTTTTTAGAAAATTAAAATTCGATTTGGAAAAGAACACACTGATACTTAATTTTAGTAAAACTTCCGAATATAGCCGTAGACAACAACGGTAAAGCAACCACCTATCAATACCTTTATTGTTTTGCAATTGCAACGATGATAAACTTTATTTCCTACCAAATTATAGCTTGCCGCGTATAAATATGATAGAAATTGTAGGGCGTGCAGTGCCGGCCTGTTCTTAGGCGAAGCTTGCGTTCAATAAACAAAAGCATTGTCAGCCCGAAGCATAAAAACTAACTACTATTAAACATAACTAACTTGCCTAAAGATATCGGTAAATCAACAGACAAAAGTTGCAACTTAGTTACTACACTGGTTTCTGTACGCCCGATAAACATTCACGCAATAAAGAGCTGCCACTAAGATGTGTCCTGCTTCCCGCATAAGTTAGCTTAATTAGGATTCTCACGATAGCGATAGTTTGTTTGTGAGAGAGTCTAGTATGCATTGTCCTTGCGTGTGAATATCAAGATATGACAAATGCTTGTAGAGAGAGCATTTTTCGGGGGTAAATTTGGCAAGCTTGGCTTCAAAAGGTTTCTGGGTTCTTGAAACTATAGGAATAGAAATTCCGCTAGCTACAAGCACAGCGCGACGATTAAACAAATTCGTCTTGATTCCTGTTAATCTTATATTTTCTTGGCAATAACTGAAGTCAGAATTTGCACTAACGTGTCGTCGAAGTCGATATAGTTTTCATTTGGGATCGTTACAAACCTCCACATGAAGCGATAGTCCTCCAATAGCGACCATTTCCTGACGGATAACCTTGCGCAGGAACACGATTCCAATGTCTGGGTTACCCACTAACAGAATAGCAGCTGCTCTGACCGCATTTACTTGATGATTGGCCATACTCATCGTGATCTCCAAACGATTTGAATATCCCACCACTTCCAGCAAATACCTAATCATAAAACGCACTCGACACTGACTGACGTTGTTTTTACTTTAAATCTTTTTGCTTTCTATTCCGAGTTCATCATAACCCTAGGGCAATTTTGCTTGTTGACGGGATCAAACATTTTAATCGGTGTTACACTGTACAAACCGCGACGAACTCGTTCACACGTCGCGTCACACGAACGAACGGCATGCTTGTCAAGATTTTGTGCATCATAAGCGTTTTGGTCTGAAATTTCCACATCGATGTTGAAATAACGCTGGCATATCGATCGTGACATGAAGCGTTCTTGCATTAAGAAGCACATAACTATGCCTATATGCCATCTTTTCGTGCATTGTGGGGGCTCCGATTACCTGGGGAAATTATCTTCGGCTCGTTTTTTGAGTCTTGAACCAAACGGGGGTAGCGTCTTCGTCACCATTTCGATGCTGTTCGGATCAGCATCGCGTAAAGTTCGGAAGGATGTATAGCCATTAAGCATGAGAAGGGTGCCTCTCTTTGGACCTATATCAGCTAACTGCTGCAAGCAGTATTCTGAGTCGTGCCTATAGACATACAGCGTATACAACAGAATATTCGTTCATTATGAAACACAGGTAAATCTATCATAGGCATGTACAAGTAGCAGACAGACATTAGGAACAGGTGGTAACGGTGCCGATGATCCGATTAAGTATTTGGATGGATCTTTGCTTTTTGCCCAAAGCGAAATCGTACGTAGTATCTACTCGAGGTGGTCTTGATATAAATTTAATTCAAACAACAAACAAATGGAAAATGGAGACTAGTTTACATTTGAAGTGTGCACCTGAATCGGCTAAAAGCGTACCATAATCCACACTCCAAGGCTTTTGCTAACAACGCGATATTACGAATGGTTCTGTAGCTGTTGATGGCTGCTGGTACTTCAAGACGTTCACTGAGCCTTTTCTGTCGGTGAAGACATAGAAGTGATTCAAGCAAACAACGGCATACACGACGAGCTAATTTTAACACCGACGAGCGATCTATTCGGAGACCTATATCCTAGATCAGGGAAATCACATCATTGTGAAGAAGGAAACAATACATCATCATTTTGATCAGGTTATCATTACTTGTAACTAAATCATAATACTGATATTCATGGGGCAAAAGGAAATTTATTTCTAGATATCATTTTTCAGCTGTCTCTAATACAATTCTATATAATGGCCTTGTAATCTGTTATGGAACCCACTGTTGAGAATCGTGAGTATTTTCTATAAAATTCATTGACAAGCTATGCTTCCTAACAATCGACACAACCTTTAAAATCCGAATCATGACTCCGTGTAGAATTCTAATACGTCTCCGAAAAATTATATATATTTTGACAATTAATCTATGTCAAAGCGTTTCGTGAACTTACTGTAATTTCGATTCCATCGAGATTACTCTGTAGAAGTAGAAATATTTTCTCTTTATTTTTCCATTGGCCTGGTTTTGCTGCTACCTTATAGCGAACTCGGCTATTCAGCTGTCTCAATAATGCCCGTTCGTTAGAACGAACTTGCACGCCACTGAAGTCCGGACACTGCACGATGATGTGAAGCAATCTTTCCGTAGACAAACCGTCATCAGGTACATTGTGTAACTCTTGCACAAACGCTTCGAAGCCGCTGAATGATATGTAAAAGCGAGTGAATATTCGTCCGAGTTCTGTTTTGAAAAAAACACACCAAATAAGACCAAGAAACCTTCTCAGATGTTTAGAGTTAAACCCTTGAAAAAGCATTAGATCGTTGCCTTAATTCGAAATAACAAACATCAAAAAGATTAACGTCGTTCAATTTCGGTACATTACTTACCGGTACTATTGATTCTGCTGTCAGATTTTTCAATTAGGCCCACGGTGAAAAGCGAGCTCAGGGCATATTGGCATTGTTCTGTTAAAGTTTAGAAACAAAGTATCCAACAGTTAATCTAACTATGCGCGTTTATGTCACAAGCCAATGTTGTTCCTGGTTTATGCGAGGGGTTAATCGTGATTTAATCCGCGCTAACGATAACTGTCGTCATCGTGTTTTAACCACAAATCTGTACCTGCAGCGGTTACTTGTTAGGACTACAGGTACGTACCGGCAATATAATCGTCCAGGCCTTCAATAGGTTGTCCGATAGGCAGATATCGTTTTGGGTTTTGAGTTAGACGCACAAAGAAAAAAGTGCTCTTAAGCCAGGCAACTACGTCAGGCAGACTACGAATGCTTTTGTGTACGATCTCTCTATTCACGTGTCGTACGAGATCGCGTTGAAGGTAGCTCTCCACTGTATCTTGCTTCCCCTGAAGAATATCCTCGTATCGAGCCTTCAGACAAAGATCATTAGGTACAGAATGAGTTTTGCCATCCATGAACGGACACAAAAGTTTCCCTAATAGAGCAGGCTAAACTCGCCATTAATTCTAACGAAGAAAGATGAAAAGGGAACTGGGAGCTCAAAGATCTAGTTATTAAAAAAAAGAATCTCAATGTTCACTTTTTCTTTTTACTAGTTGATCAGTGATAGAGTTATAATTCTAATATTGTTTATAACCCTTGATCTAAGGAAAAATCGACACCATTTCGCATTGATGATATTGGTGGGCACGAACGAGAATACCTTTGAGAGCTGTTATCATTAGCAGTATCAGAATGCATCGTTACTCTCATAGCCAAAGCAACGAAATAAGGCTGAGGAAGGGGATATGTGTACGTCTTACGCAGTCTTCGGTGAAGGATGCTATCTACATAACTGAAAGCACTTCAGTACAACTCCTGCATATCTTACGCAGTCTTAATAAGTATATATATATGCTACGGTGGAAAACTACTTATAGCGTGCAGAAGTCTACTACCGGCGTGTCAGAGAAATGCTCAACAGTCGTCCCATATAAAAATTGAGCTATAATAAGAAAGAATAAACGAGAACTAATACAAGAAGAGCAGCTCCTATATGTATATTACTAGTTCAGAAATAAACTTCATTCATTGAATATCAACACTTTGAAGCAAGCGTGTGTATAAGGCTACAGCAAATTCAATCACCTCTATTACCTAGAACATTTATGTATATTTCAAGAAATGTAGATCAACCGAACTTAAATATGCGAGTTAGCGCACGAGTCCATTGATAGTTGCAGGCTTTGTATTTTACATCTGCCTAAGTGTCGAAATATATACAAATTATTGAATTGAATTGAAGAACGAATTAAACACGTTTGTAACAGGGGCATCCTCATACATATTTCCACAAATTCCGCAATTCCTGCAAAGTATGATACTATACGAGTGTAAGTTAGAAATATAATCGACCCACGATTGACTGTCTGATCTGGCTAACTGACAGCTCCTTGAATATATCGCATGTGCACGTGCACATCTGTGTGGCCGATTACTATTTATTATCAACTCAAATAGTTACTACATAAAAACAAAACTGTGCTTTAATTATATGACGCAATTTGAATTTTTCAGTATACATTGTCGTACAGGATGCGCCGAAATGTAAGAGCGAAAAACAAAAGCGATTTCTTCTGCGTCCTTTTTTTCGGCCCGAGAGGTCTGATCTGCACGTAAAAAACATCAACCAAACGCCCCGCCCCGCCCCGCCCCGCACCGTTCCCCTAGCGTAACTCGGTGAATTTCGCACTATTTTAAATGACGCCTCTACATAGTTCAGCATCTGTTTCTCCAAGAACTTCATACGCCAATTATTTTAGGTCGTGAAATTTTTTCGTTGCTATTTGAAACACACTGTCCTACAACTTCAAAATGCATCGCTAAGTGCTCGTTCGTCGGCTGAACACAATGTTGTTAAGGTCGTGTGATCGGCATGCTCGCCGCTCCCTACTGCAGCTATGTTTTAATCCATTTTTCCGCTTCGTGTTCTCCCTTGTTTCACTTTATGTGCAGATAAACTAGCTTATTCGAATTTCTTGATATACGATAAATGCTGTCCGTTCTCAGTATGACCCGTGTCCGTAAGGTCGCGCAGTGACCAACGTGTCTCCATACACATGGAGATGAAGGTTCGAATCCAGTGGTAAATAGACTAATTTTTTTACAATGCGCTCTCAAGTAATGCTTAACGGCTCAAGTACCGGACCATACGAAAAAAAAATTATTTTCTATTCTCTCTCGTGTGGAGTTTTACCGTCAACGATTCATTTTATTAGCAAGTTGTAATGAAAAACAATAATGCCTCAGTCTACAGAGGTTCATCACTATATGTATATGTATGAACAGCATAATAATAATTTTTATATACTATTGGGTTTCATCAAAGGTATCTCAGTAACTATCTACTATCTACATACGTTTTTTTCATGTGAAGACTGGCTACCCCAAATTCTGTGCTTTCGTGAGTGTACGTTAGGTCATTAGGAGAGGAACTCACGGAAGAGTAGCGGACTCTAATAGCCAGATTCATAGAAGAACAGCGAGCGTGAAAAGAAATCGTTAGGTAAATCGGAATATCAAAGTGTGCAGATGAAACAGAAGGTAAAGGAGAGAAGGGAAAAACCCGATGGTATATAGAAAGGTGGTGGTATAAAAAAACATGGTGCAATGGTGGCGTAATGAGGAGACTGGCTCATCCTAATCGCGCTATAATTTTCTAACAGCTTATTAATTGCGTTTGTGAATGGCAAAGCTTACGGTCACTGTGTCCATAAGTTACCTTCAACGTTGTATTAAAATAAGTGGTTTTTGGCTGTCGCAAAGTAGCCGAAAGGCTTCAACTAAGCTGTGCGGAGAAATACGCGCTTTTCAAACGAGTTAAGCAATTCCGAAGTTAGATGTTTGAAGGCTATATCGGCTCCTGTTGTTCTCGTGAAGCATATTTTGAGATTTTGGATAGTAAAACTCAACATGGTTACAAGAGTTCCGGTGAAAGAGCCTGCAAATTCCGTGCGATCCAACAGGTCCAACATATATGTGTATGTATGGCAAAGTATGCGTGTTTATTGCTAATTAAGTTGCAGTTCTGCTATGGTCTGGACGTTTACCAGAGAAGAGTCGTATCGAAAGCATATGGCAGTATGTTAAGGCTCAAAGTTTAAATTGGACAAGAAATTATGAACATCTCACAAGTTAACATAGCCGCGGGTCAGAGAAGCAAGTCCTAAGCTAATGCCGTGCGCCTCTTTTTGCACAGCAGTTTAAGAACGCTTGTCCAACCGGGGTGCCATTACATACATTACCGCTAGAAGGCAGAGAAAGGCAGTTTTTATATGAAAACTCCACGCAGATATTTGATTCCGGTGCAGAGCGATCTTCAATACAGCTTTATCATGTATAAAACGTATAGTTGGCCTTATTTCATTAGCCAATGATTACATATGTACTTATATAATGTGCTCCTTATCAGCAGTTAGTTACACGACAATAACAAGATAGAGTTTACTATTTGCTCGGACATTGAGTGTGAATATAAACAGAGACGACTTACCACATGATTCGATGTTGTCATAATGATGGCTTTACCGGATCCTTCCAACCCTGGCCGGCCTGCCCGTCCTATCATCTGATGAATCCGCGCAGCGGAATATTGTCCACAAATGCCTCCGGTTATCATCGTCGTTCCTCTAACAACCACTAAGTATGCAGGCAAGTTTACACCCATGGCAAGTGTGCTCGTACACACGAGGACTCGAAGGTCGCCTTGATTGAAAGTCTTTTCGACAAGACTGCGATCTTCGGAACTGAGTCCGGCGTTGTGAAAACCCACCCCATGCTCTAGATAATCTGCAAAAGTACAATTGTAATATCTTCTTTGAGAAACATAAACAACTGACGCCAATTGATTCGTAGTTCATGCAAAGTAGTTTTTTTTTGGAAACTGAACTCTTTTAACATGGATGTACCCGATAATGGTTAATATCTTCTGAGTGGTGAGGACCATTTCAAATATCTAATACATTGTTACGAGAGACTAATAGGAATCATGTTACCCAATTATATAGCTGCGTGAAGAGTTGATACTGATTTTTTAAAAAAATTAAAAAGATCTTTATGTTTCAGCTGAGGATCGAACCTGAAACTTCTCAAGTTTGAGGCTGTACCCTCCCCTTCATCGTGGCTGTGACCCGTTTTATGTAGCGGGGGACAAAAAAAATTAAAACTTCGCCTTTTTAAAATTAGCTAAAAATTAGGTCACACGCGAGATTTAATTCGATGAAAATATCGTTCAATATTTCAATCAAAATATGCTGCCTATATTATTCTTAGCGATATTTTTCAGACTAAACTGACCGCTAAGTTTTTTATCTTTGCAAAATCTGGCCACTCGCCGGAGTTCTTCTCTGGAACTAGAACGAGCCCACGACTGCTTGTTGACGAGGCACCGTGCGCAGATCACTGTAGCTGCACGACTAGATACAAACTGATTAAAAATATTATTTTTAATCTATAACACTAAGTATACGAAAAAATGCATCTTACAAGAAGTTTAATTAAGCACTGTGATTATGAACACCGCAATGCTATAATAGTTAGGAAATTATCTTTGTGATTGCGGATAATTAAATCCAATTACAAATGCTATAAAGTCTAAAGGTGTATTAGAATAAAAATGCACAGTTTACTTCATGGAGCGATTTACGAGGTAAATGAAAGCCTTTTAGTTTGGTTCTTGGTCAAAACTTGGCGACCTCGTGCACTTCGAGAAGTTTCACACTTTTGTTGTCTAATTGTGGTCATGGATCCTAGACAATGTCTGCTAGAAAAAGTCGACGAAGGTGAAACAAAACAGAACTAATATACTTTTAGCCAAATTTCGGTATCTCTGTAAAAGCTACCTTTTTGTAGACGACTTTTTAGCGTAAATCAAACTGTAATCTAAGGGTAATAAGATCAAGGTTACTATTATTATTAAAAAAAAAAACGCGAAAGTTTCACACAAAGCGCTGAAATAAGTTAGTTTTTTCGTACTTAGGTGCTTTAGCTAGTAGAAAAGTTAACCAATATAATGTAGTGATGGGTGTTCTGATCTAGTTTATTATACATGTAATGCTTCTCAATACGCTGCTGTCATTAGCTAGGGAACTGATTGAGATATCAATCGATTCTTTCGGAGCCATTAAATTCCTACACTTAGGAAGAAGTTTTGCTAGGCAATGCTGCAAAACCAACTCTTACTGTGACCATGTTCAAAGTGAGAATGCTAAAAAATCTAGCTGAAGTTACTTACGTTATGTCACACTATGTATAACATATACCTTTTCATAACACGATGAAAAATACCACAATGTTTCAAAATTAACTTACAATAATTGCTGATTTATTTGCTGGTAGCACCTCTCGAAGTAGCGATGGTAGTTTATAGTTAAGATTAGCATCGAAGTGAAACGGAGACCGATCTGGAGGACAGTAAACACCTTTGACAGATGCTTCGATGGGAATCGTACGCGCCCGCTCTCCAAACGAGTATCCGTGCCATGGAGTATTACGACCAAGCCATTGGCCTATCTGTAGCAATGCGATGATATGAATTGCTTAGTTAAGCATCAGAGCAAAGTCAAACAGTAGCGCTCTTCCTTTCTTTGACAACTTCTTAAATTAATAACGGCTAGCAATGGAGTGGTAGACTATTGTATATCTAATAGCGCGTATTTTTACGTAACGTCCATTGCAGCGAGTTTGTCACACATTAACAATATCACAAAGGCATTCTATACGACAGGCATTACGAGGCATCGCAAAAGTTCTTTGCTCACTTGAATAAAGGCTATTAGTGTTAGGAGGTTTCCATTACTGCGAAAAGTCATAACTAGACATAGTGTGCTTTCGTAAAATATACGTTTGTGTATCTTATATACAAAATCTAGTATCGGCAACATTTGGTCAGTAGTGCAGAAACTCAAGCGTATTTACATCATTAGGATTGGCGATCGTTGCAGATATAGCTACAAATCTCGGAAGTAAAGACTGAGGCATGCAGCGCACTATTGTACGCGTCAAAACCGCTTCAAGGATAGGCCCACGGTCAGGTTCCCCGACCATATGAACCTCGTCAATAAGATACACGCTAACCTGCTGGAAACACAAAGAAGCACTTATAAGTGAAACTTGAAAAGGTCATGTATTTTTGAACATCCAGTTTGCTTAACGTACCCTCATTCTAACTTGCAAACAAACAATCTCAACTTTATTTTAAGGATTCATGCATCGCACCTCTAGTAACTCCATACATTTGTTATCCTCTGTAACTAGGTATGGAGGCAGCATGCCCAAATGCTTATCAAACCAAGGAAAATCCATCGAAAAATTGGGCGTAAAAACAAAGAGCACCGTCAAATTCAATGTTCCTGTCTAACTTCTGTTTCTTTATTCAGGTCTTCTACGCTAATTACGTCAGAAGACGAGCGCTTTTTCACAGAGAACCATCGCGAGCTACTAAAGTTCCTGTATCCACGTCATAGTTTTGTTAAAGAACATATAAAAAATCTTATTTAAGCATACGGATTACGAAAGTTAAAACTTCTCCGAAGGTTTTGCGTCAGTTGTGAAACTTATTGAAGCTTTGCATTGTTTTCGTCCGGAACTTTTCTAGCTTTGCATCGCTGACCATGAGGGTTTTTGCAGTTTACCCATATTTCCATTTCCTAGCTGCTTCATTACCCACTGGTAGCATCCTGTTTAAAGCAGGATGTCATGTTTTTAAAATAGACGTTTCTCGCTGTCGATTCACCAGGCAGGCCGAAGTAGTCCCCTAAAATTTCTGGGATTTCCTGGGAAAACCAGCACTAGGTTTTTCTAATCCAAATCAGAGCAGGAATATCGGCCTTTCTTTTGCTACCTGGCAGAATCTGTAAACGTCTTCCTCTACTAGCTTCAAAATAAGATTTCTTTTCGACTTCACAAATCGACATTTTTGCAACTTGTTTTTCTCCAACATCAGACAACACCTATGAGTCATTTTGTTGTTTATATAGCTTGCATATTTTGTGCAGAAGAAGACGATGAGCAATAGGAGGCTGCAGGTGGGAGACGAGGGAAGCTTAACGTATGTACATCTTTAAATATTTACAAAACCGGAACCTTGTTCTATTAGCTACATTACATAATATTTATCTAATATATAATACCATCGCTGTATCATTTAATCAAATTCGTAGGGATTCGTTTTTTATTTCAACTTCGATGATAGATTACTCATTGCTCGCGGTAAGTTTAAAAACTGAATACTGCAGAAACATCACAGTTTTAATTTACAGTAAGGACTATCTTATTCTTTGCTACCTATTCTTTTATTTGTCATACATATTTGGCGATTTTTTTTCGTCGCAGCAGTCGTAGCAGTCACTTGCTTATGACAGTCACTTCGACGGCTTTTGTATTGATTATGGCAAAATGCGTAAATATAAACAGTTCGGCTCGAGGCCATATACAAGAACGCCTATTGAATAGAGAGGGTCTACTGACAAAAGTATTACGTACGTTTTTTTCAGAAGATATTTAACTCGACCGTATTTTGTACCGACCTTTCTACTGCTCAGCCACGTATATCCGGCTCCAAGGCGAAGCTCCGTATCCCATTTCTCCTACAGTTGCCTCAAAAATACATTTATTAAATAAAATAAAAATAATTTTATTCGAAGACAGAACGTTTTACCACTCTGCTATCTGGATATTTGTGATTGTCTCTCTAATGCTGATTGAAGCACACTCGAAATACAAGCCCTAGAAATATTCTGATAAAGTTCAAATGTACTTGATAAATATCATCTAGCGATACGTCCTTAACCAGCAGTTTCCCTTTAGCTCACCGGTGTTGTGCAGATAAGATTGGTCGACATATCGCCATTTCCCGCGTCGCAAACTTCGTTTAAATCACCCGTAACCTCGGTAACTTTAAGTCGGAGGGCCGCGAACCTCTCGCGCCATTCGCTAACCTTTTGCTGAACTAGACACCTTGTTGGAGCTATGTAGACGGCCAGTGCTTCACTACCATAGTCTTCCACTGCTCGACATATTGCTAATTCAAGCAGCACTGTTTTTCCTGTGTGAACAATTCGAAAATGTACCTACGCTACCAGAGACGGCTAACGACTACACTGCAACCCCTGTATGACTATAGGGCAATCTTGTGCGACGACACCCGATTAGATGGAAGAATTGGACACGTACACAGCAGAAAGTGAATACCGTACTATATTTTTCGCGGGTGATGCTATTGGAGATTCACAGATTTAGAGGTATCGGAACAAAAAATTTACCTGATCCAGTCGGAGCAGCCACCACGAGCGAATCACTGGAATGCCACAGAATTGGCAAGCATTTTGACTGCATTTCATTAAATTGATCGAATTCAAAGATGCGTCTATATGCTTCCGCTGATAATAAAACACAGAACAATGGAACACAATGATATGCCGTCAGTGGTCAAGACAAAGATACTACATTGGCCAGCTATTACTCGTTACGATGATTACAAAAGGCTCGCAAAATTTTACGGGTAAATTGATAATCTAACGTCACGTAAAAGACGGACACATTCGATTTTAGCACTCTCAAATCATCGTGGATGGGAATCGTAGGACTAATTCACTTACGGAGAACCTCAACGGTATAGTGTTTCTTTTGTGACATAACTGTTGCCTTATACGTTGCCTCGACTCACACAACGGTACGTCCTATTTATTTCATATAGCAGATATTACCGCAGCTGTTCTAACACTAAACACTATACTCAGGCTGACAGCTTAAGGACTGACGCTAGATTATACGAAAAAACGCCTTAGTTAGGCAGATCTCTTCGATAGAAAACACTCTACCAAAGATACTGCCCATATCGAATGTATTCTTGACGGTTTAAGTTTACTTGCGGCCATTCCAGCGAGTTTGTATACTGCTAGGTCAAATTGCAGACCAGAGCTACACTCTAATTCCATAACAATCATATTGATCGTTCAGATCTTTGTCAAGTTTGCGGCTGACGGCTCTTTCTCGAAATGTAAGGTCTCTGGTTTATACATTATAGCATAAATTTTTGTAGCCACAAACTCATTTTAATAAATAGTATTATTAACATGTATGTATTTATATTTTCGGCAACTATACACGTATACATATATGCGGCGGTCGAAAAACTGGAGAGCTTTTTTTATAGCTAAATGGTATCATAGTCCATTATCTTAAGCAATTTGACTTGTATCGATTTACTGTTATTTGAAAACTGAGATCTGACGGTAGCAAAACGTGCTAACATTGTTGGAATATCTTTGTTTAGGTTGAAGATTAGTAAAATCTGTATAAAACTTTGCAACTATATTTTGATAAAGGCACAGGGCCAAAAAAAGTTGCCCTATTTATTATTGGGATATCGCATTTCCATTTGCAAAAGTGCCGAATCATAATGAACTCAAACTGTTTCTAACACAACAATTAATAATACGATAATGAAGTGCAAAAAAAGATCCTTTATAATGAGTAGCAAAACCCAGTGTTTTTTGGCGTTAGAAACGAGCAGTCACTGCCGCCTGCTAAACAGATTGATTTTAGCTTTTATTACCGACAACTCCCAGGATTATAATAAGCCATTCAAAAGCGACCAGAAAAGGAATCATCTCTCTTTTAGCTACCCGTCAAAAATGAGAAGAAGTAGTATGGAAGATTTAAGTACATCCGCTGTATAGCCTATATGCCAGACCATCAGACTATCATGTTTCGGTCACTATAGAACTTTGTTAACGCTGTTAATTTTCTTTTGGAAAGGAGTAAATGTAATTTCCTTCCCGAAAACCGGTGTTTCCCTAAAAAAAATGGCGGTGGACAAAAGGTCGCATAAATTGTCAATTTATTATTTTAAAATATTTAAAAGAACTACTCCAGTTGCAGTTTAGAATCCGTAGTTAGTATTTTTTTTTTTCGACTACCCCGTATTTTAAACGGCAACTTTCTCTCAAAGATTTTTTTGGCAGCTTCTATGTAGCTGAATACAGTTCTCCGGAATACACGTGCTCTGCGATAGGACGTTCCCTTAGAATAAACACTAATAAGATTTAGGCAAAGTCGGGTTTCGAAAAAAATAGCAGCTATCTGAATTGTGCATCTAAGTATTATACTGACAAGATACCGTTATATACATAGTCCATGGATTTTCTAAAACTATGGACACAAGATATGCCGACGGTTATCACTATTGTAAGTAAGGATGTTGTAAATGTCAGCGGGAGGCTCATGTATGTTTGATACCCTTGAACCGGCGAAGTAGATATAGGCGAGATTTTTCGTATAAGCATTTGAGCCTTTGACGATTAAAAAAAACGCGTGGGTTAACATAGCTGAGGGTGTTTACACACTGCAGCTGTTGCCCATTATGTGGCAATGCTTTGCCCACCCATGCTAACTTTGAAGAAACTATATCTTCGTTCTTTTTAGCGTCTAGGCTAGCCGAGTCCTCTCACCACGAGATATCATGCCTGATAATGGAAGACAGATATGACTGATATTAGTGACATTCGGTACGGGTAGTAAAGTAGACGCGTAGAGAATGGTGTGTATCTGCTCCTGCTTTGATAATTTTTACGGTTTCTTTTACCATATAGAAATGATTAATCGACTGTTTCTTGATCCTCTTACAATCTGATTTTGTTACATAAGTCTCCTGTACATACTCAAGCGCCTAGAAGTGTCGGTAATTACCACTGGTGAGGCCGCTGCTCTGTTATGTATATGACGTAATAAGCATCCTATTTACCATAAATTGGAACTTCCTAACTTTTCCTTTAGTTAGCAAGAAGGTAGTCATCTTTAGTTTTGTCATATTAACCTGTATAACGACAACCAGCTCCACCAATGTTCAGGTCCTTTTTATACGCATGTATACACGACGCGGACAGAGTTCCGATCTATTATGCCACAATAACTATTTCACTGGACATACCCGCAGATGCCCACAGAACATAAATTGGAAACCCTTTCCCGGTTCTCTCAGGATCCACATCAGTGGACCCTCTCAACTGATCTGACGGTCATATCTCACGCACTCAAGTCCCCAGGATAACTTTCTCATATAAATACCCTCTCAACTCCCTTTGTTACCTTCACCTCTTTCCCAGTACCATTTTTTGTCAACTGGTATGTCGGGGGGGTGGGATTGGGGTTGTATCAACAGTACGTTTGGCCAATGACTGGCGTGTTCGTTTGATTCCGAGTGCGAGTATGCGCTTGTGTCTCCATTCTAAGTACACACATGGCACAATCAGTCGATGGAGACTGCCACACATCCGAGCTTCCTGTTTGGTTGGAGAGTGGGTAGACTGTACCTCGATAGAGAAGCTTTTTGTTCTCCGTTCGCTTATTTTTTTGTTGTTATTGGCGGCGCGCGGCTCTTTGTCGCATATTGGTCTTTCGTCAAGAAAATCTTTCTACTTCTGTACTCCACCCTATTTTACTCGTTCTTGGCTGATTCTGGTCGCTAGTAGTGCGCGATCTAGGGCGTCTGCACGACTGCACGACTAGTCAAGCGGAAGTGACTCAGGAACTCTTGAGGTAAGCGCCGCGCGGACTTCCGCCGCGTAGGCGTCGAAAGCTGCCACTGGATCTAAACACACAGCACAGCGTCAAAATGGGTAGAAGCCCACAAACGATTGTTCGTCGTTTGCTTGTCGACCATGAGGAAATCGACTGCGATTAGAAGTAGTGGGCCATATAGAAGAATCGTAGTTATACATCGTTGCACTTAGGTTGGTTTCAGCCTGTGGCTGAATATTAATAAAAGTACACTGACGGACAAGATGGTGTGATTAGAATTTACCAGTTCTCTATTAACATGTATACAAAGTAGTAAAATTAGTCTTTTAATAAGGTATGTTGTTATGATTTGAGCCTGAAAAACCTGGGTGAGTAATCAACTTCTAAAAGTTTCTCAAATGTTCATTTATCCTTTACAAAGGAAAAAATGTTGAAGCAACAGAAAAATTCTCATAATAAATTTCAATTTTATTTGAAAAAAAATTAGCGTACGATAGGAAATTTTGACTGCAATGGTCGTTGTTGTTGTTGTTACATTTTACTCTATGACATTATGACATAGGATATAGAAACAGTATTATAATAAATAATTTGCGTGTCTCCGATTATTTTGAAACACGTAACATAAACGTACCAAGAACCTGTTGTCTTATCCTGTATATGTATACCAGGGTTTTTTTTTTTACATCGTCGTCATTTTTACATTGACACAGTTGTTGGCAGATAAAAGAATATACGCCAGAAGCAAGGTAAATATAATAATAAACGCTGAAAAAAAAAATCACCTTTATACGAGGAACACGAATATATTATCCACACTTTAACGTACAGCCACTATACGTATCTAACGTAACGTAAAACATGAGCTAATGCTTGTTGATTTCTAGATAGCTCGTCCATTCAGTAATACAAAGTCCACATTTCAAGTACAATGTTAAGCTATTTCTATTTTTGTCCTAAGAAATAAATTAAATATGGCGAATTCTTGCGGTGGGTTGAAAAGTGGCATGATGAATAGGATATTTTTTAAAATAATTTATATGCTTCTACGTCACTACGTATTGTACCAACCTAACAACTTACAGGGAAATATCCCTCATAGCCAAATCGTTTTTTTTTTTTCGATTGTTTCGTTTCTAGCGATTGCTTTTAACGAACAGCTTTGCTTGTCTTCTAACTCTGCGTCTCATGAATAGTTACCGTACCGGTAGACAGGTAGTAAAAGTCCTTTTTACACACATTCTGATTATACTTCATTTGCTTAAAGGTACCTTAGTCTCATCGTTAAGCTCAATTAGGTTTGTCATATCAGGTCAGGCGATAGTTCATCCCGCCAGTACCCCTTTGGACACGCTCAATAACTGTTACAGGCACAACTATCTAGCTTTTCTGCAAACGGTCATTTTCTAAATTCTAAATAAGTGAATCATCCATGAGCGTTTTTAGGACAGAGCATGGGATATAGTTGTATGTTATATTATACCTAGCATCAGTATCCGTCAGAAGCTAAATAACGTGGATTCGTACTAGATAAATATAAGCGCTGCACGATCCCATTTGCGCACGTGGGCATGAAGGGTTATTTAGGCCCCGACCGGGGTAAATATTTAAAGCAAAACTGTATTCAGCTATTCTCTGCGAGTTTTTCTCACAAATAGAGCAAGATACTAAGCAATTATTATAGGATTCTTAAATATTGTGCAGCTCACAGTCCGCGTTTACGTTTTATATTACTGACAAATTATCGCCGGTAATGGAAAACTACATAAAATGCTACTAATGTACGTATATCAATTACTAACATCAAACCCCAT